ACCCACATAGTAATAAACGCTACATGCTATACAACTCCCCTCCTCACAGAGTTATTTCTTCCAGTAAAAGAATTCATCTAAAGCTAATAAGTGAAGAGTAGCTAATGAAACTTCAAATAAAACAAGAAAAGGTACAACTATATTCAAAAGTAAATCTTACATTACCATACCAAAATTTAAATCCTCCAGTCTATTTGCTATGGAACTGAACACCAATTGTCTAGGGTAAAAAATACACTATGGCTGCTATAAGTAGAATACTAAATTCATTTCCATCAATGCATTAACCCATTCGCCACGGATATATGTTCTGTCCCCTGTAGTTTTTGGTGAATTTTGTTACATACAGATGGCTCCGCATGTGCTCAACCGGCAAGGAGTCTATCAGTAGGCCCTAGTTACCAACCCTGATTTTCCCGTTCACTGAATTGACGGGAAAGTTAATATCCTTGTTTTCGTTACTGTTATTATTGTTATTGATGTTATGATTATTGAATTGTCATTAGAATATTTTTGACAATGAAATGATACAAAAAACCCTTTCCTAAAGTGAAGGAAAAAGGTAAACAGGTGAAATAGGTAGTTCTTGATAACTGGCTATTTGGTGATTAAGAACTTGTAGAACCATCTATGTGTAAACAAAATAAATAAACATGTATCAAAGTGGGTATGGCATCTATTCTTGCCACGTGTGGCGAATGGGTTCACTGAAATATTTCAACACAAGAAAAACAAATACCTTTTCATGGCTGTAGCAGCAAGCTCACTAAGGGCAATTGCAGCAAGCAAATGAGTGGGCTGTTGCAGATTTACAGGGGCCACTGGGCTGAAAGTGGAAGGGGTGTGCAGAAGTGTACCAGTAGTCTGGGTGAAGATTGGGGGAACCGATGCAAAGGAGGATATGGCAGGTGACGAAGAGGTTGTCATTATCCCTAAAACACTTCCTTTCCCTCTACTAATATTTTCAACATTCTGGTACCTGTCAGGAAGAGGGAAAAGTTATCAAGTCCACAGGTGATGAGTACATACAAATTATTTAAATACATATATAATACCATATGTCTGTGGATGTGGATTTGCAGGGCATCTTTTAAAAAACAGTATATCAATTATTTGTTTGAAATTTTTTGAGCTGTATCTTTTAACATAAATTTTAAATTTTCATTTTAGAGAATGTATTGCATAAATATTATCACAAGCAAGTAAGCTTTTTGATATCTTATACTATAAGTTTTAACAAAAAATATAAAAGTCAAAAGGCCAATTTCAAATTCAAATATAATTAATATAAGGATTTCAGGAATGCAATTCAACAGTTTCAATATCTATTGTCATTTCAAAATGCTATGTTAATCATACATGAGTATATACTGAGAAAAAGTTGTAACAATGGGGCTAACATTGCAGATGTATTTCACATCACTGAACTTCAAATAAGAGAAACAATGTAAATTTAACCCAATCACTACCTAATTATGTACAGTTTTTTGTGAATTTTGTTACATATAGATGGCTCCACAAGGCCTCATCCACCAAGAAGTCTATCAGTAGGCCCTAGTGACCGCTCCTATATTCCCCATTCCATGAAATTGCAGAAAAATGTGTATTTCTTTTTTAATACTATTGATATTGATACTGCTGTTATTCTTACTGATATCATGATTAGTAAATTGTTATTAAAGTCTTGGTAACATTAAAGACAGTGAAATAATACAAAATAGACTTTCCAAAAATCAAGGAAAGGGGTAAACAAGTGAGAGATGTAGGACTAATAACTGATTCGATAATGACTAAGCACTTGTAGAGCCATCTATGTGTAAATATAATAAATAAACTTGTATTACAGCAGGCATGGCATATTCTTGCCATACGTGCCAATTGGGTTAAGCAAATTCTACATCCAGCTGCAATTAATATTCATACAACCGATAACTGCAGTAGTATGAAAGTAGGAGAACTTACTTGAGAGGTATATGATGCCAGAAGGTCTGAGTCTGGTTATTCGTACTCTGATGAGTGGACACTGAAGGTTCGGAAAGAGATGTTCTTCTTTCCCTTCATGCAAAGAAAGGAAAGATAAAAATTTAATTCAGACAAAAGATTGATGTTATCTCAATAATTCTCCGATTCCTTTCTAATCCCTGTATTTTAAAACATCCTACAGCTTTTACCCAACACCGAATTATAGATTCATGTAGCACAAAAATAGCACTCTTGCTCTCTTGTTAAGAAATAATAAGTAATTGCAAAAACAAATCAAAACTGTACTTTTACCTCAAAGCCTGGATAGTGGTTGGGTGGAAAGCATGAGCAGAACGTCGGGCGTGAGTCTGTAGAGTCTCAACAGAGGAAAAATTTCTGCCACAACCACAAAGAAGTTGGAGACCACACGCACGTTTGTGGTGGGAGAGCAGAGCCGATGTGCTGAAAGCCTGGCCACAGTCACAGGCATGAGACCGCTTGGCATGAACCTTCAGATAATGCTATATACAAAAAAGAAATATTCTGATTAGGTTTTAATTAATGCATTAATGTCTGTGTATTTTTGTTCTATGTTAAGATTTTGGCAGACGGAGTTATGTAAAATTGTTTGAAAAGATTTACAATTTGCCAATATAATTTATATAAATGCATCCTCTATGGATATAATTTGATGCATACCTTAATGAACAAAAAATAAGGATTCTTTTTATTGTTTTTCTATACCATATAAATTTCATATATTTATCACAAAAGTAAAGTGCATAGACTCCATTTGTGATGCCTGATATTTTGCCTGAAAATGGACATCTCTGAAGAATATTTCTCTGTTACTTTGTAGTTAAAGGATTAATAATGCCTACAAGAAAATCAGTCAACCGTTATTTCATATATTTACTACTTGCATGATTAACTATTCTTAAAAGCCTGAAAATATTGAGCTTTCAGGCAATTATGACTAATTTTCATGTTTTCAAAATGAGATATACAGTAAAAATAGTCACATATAAATATAACTGAACTATTTCTAATAATAATAAATAGATAAATAAATAAATATTACCATACAGTATATTAGTTTTTAATAATCATTCATGAACAAGAACACTTACCCATCCAGTTACATATACCATATTCCGTATACTGAGGGTTTCTAATATACAAGTTTTCAAAATCAAATACGTAACAATGATATTAAAGACATTACCTGTTTAAGATATTTGAGTTTTGGAAAATGCTTTCCATTTGGCCCAAAGTCATGATGATAAATGCACGAAGTTACTGGGCAATGATACCAAACTTCTCCATGTTGGGAACTCGACACCTTCTCTTGCTGGTGGAACTGAAACATTACATTTTGAGTGAATTATATGCCTTAAGACACACAGGACATTTATCAAACCAATAACATCTAAAAATTATATCTATCTTTACTCACAATGATGACAGCTAACCTACTGTGAGAAAAATAATTTAGGATTGACTATTAAAAATATGCAAGCTAATCATAAAATCCAATATTTATTCTAAGGAGTAGTTATTATAAAATAAGCTGAACACTTATAAAGTCACCTTACCAATCAGAGCAATTCTACCTACAACACCAATTTACTCAAAAATGTCTATCAAGAAAATGCACAAAAAAAGATAAAAATAACAATAGTAACATGATAATAATATTAACAATACAAAAGAAAAAAAATGTCTTCAATAAAATCCTTTCAGACAGACTCAATAAAAGTCAGAGCACCTTGGTCTGTATTCTTACCTGTGCCAAATGAAACCGAAGGGCAGAGGAATTGGCAAATGTACGTGGACATCCCTGAGGGCATCTGATGTTGACGGTGATTGAGGACAGACTCGCTTCATTTGGTGTCACCCGCTGAATATTCTTAGTTGACATTCTTCCCGTATCTGCATCAACTGGGAATATTGGGTGCTTACAAATGACTTCCCATTCCCCAAGTTACTGAATTTGATTGAGAGACGTATATCTGTTGATGTCTTTGACCTCGAATCTTATAGATTTCCCTATTCCCAATACACTTGAGGAGTCTTCAATAATGTATATATGAAATTCAGATTTGTTTATTGCTTCTGTTAGTTTTCTGCAATTATTGAAATTAAATGTTTTTGTTTCACCAGCTAGGCTTATTTTGATATCAGAAGGGTTATCTTACCTGTATATTGTGGTCGATTGGGCCTACGTGCTTGTTCCTTTCGGTTTTGGGTTTTCCTGGATGCTTCGGATTTGGGCCTTGCTCGTTGTCAGTTTTCTCTTGGTCTTCAGTTTGATTGGGAATCATAAATCATCTCACTTAGATTTCCAGGCTTTCCTCCTGGTTCCGGGTTAAGTTCAGCGTCCATTAAATATTCTTATGCTCACCGCACTCAAAGTTTAAAGTCACTTTTTGAGTGTTGACTCCGTGAAGGTTGGATCGGTCCTCCTCCCGAAAGATTCAGTCGGTTCTGGTGAAGGCGAGTCGATCGAAATGTAAACAAAACTCCGGCAGCGTTTTCGTAAGCTGGATCCTCCGTTCGTGAAGTCGCATGCACGGGAATCCGCATTCGTTGTTAATTTACGATATTCTGATTCATATTCTAAATCTATGAAATAGGGGAATAATATTTCTTTTATGATACTTAATTTTTCAGTGTAGATAAAAAAATAATTGTGAGTTTTATTTTAAAAGATGGTTGTCTATATAACGCGAAATATAACTGGAAAAATGTCACTGTCTTCTAAATAATGCCAAGATGCGGTAGGTAGGTTAAAATATATTTCTAACCTATTGTATATACATGGCTTAATGAAGCAGCCACTTATCATCATCTTATGGTTGTCACATAAGATAGACAACCAAACTATATTATATGATGAAACAATTATTTATCGCTAAAACAGCACACTTAAGGAAAGAGCTATTTTTTTAATTTCTGTCCTTCATCTCGTAATGCATAAAAGATAGACAAATTAACGTCCGATTTGAAGTGGCCAGCTGAGCTTTCTCTCTAATTATATATATATATATATATATATATATATATATATATATATATATATATATATATATATATATATATATATATATATATATATATGTATGCATGCACGTATAGATGTATTTATGTACTATATGTTTCTACTATCTGTTTCTACTATATGTTTTCTCTCCCCCCCCCTCTCTCTCTCTCTCTCTCTCTCTCTCTCTCTCTCTCTCTCTCTCTCTCTCTCTCTCTCTCTCTCTCTCTCTCTCTCTCTCTCTCTCTCTCTCTCTAGCCTCCAGCTTCGCATATCGGAGTTATTATCTCTCTATCTCTCTCCCCCCCCCTCTCTCTCTTTCTCTGTCTCTGTCTCTCCCTCTCTCTCTCTCTCTCTCTCTCTCTCTCTCTCTCTCTCTCTCTCTCTCTCTCTCTCTCTCTCTCTCTCTCTCTCTCTCTCTCTCTCTCTCTCTCTCTCTCTAGCCTCCAGCTTCGCATATCGGAGTTATTATCTCTCTATCTCTCTCCCCCCCCTCTCTCTCTCTCTCTGTCTATGTCTCTCCCTGTCTCTCTCTCTCTCTCTCTCTCTCTCTCTCTCTCTCTCTCTCTCTCTCTCTCTCTCTCTCTCTCTCTCTCTCTCTCTCTCTCTCTCTCTCTCTCTCTCTACTTATACATTTATGTATCTATTTATTTACTGAAAATTAGCGACGTATACAAAATATAGTTCAGTAAGGCAATGTTTGTGAATTTCCAGAATGGCTATTGATATAAAAAGGGTACCAAACAATAAAGGTTACACGGCTTTATGGTAAAGTATTGTGGCGGAAAATATGAGTTAAAAATATAGATAAGTGGACAGAGTAAGGGGATGGAGAAGAGAAAGAAAGGGAAAGAGGGAGAAGAAAAGATGCCTGCAAAATTAGTTGAGCGAGGGCTGAGGTCCCGGCGGGGGCGATCCCTGCACTGGGCCTCAGTCTCCGCCTTCTGAGCCCCCGAACAAGGACTGGCGGGTTATGTATCTATCTATTAATATGTGCACAATATTAGAGTATTGTGTGTGTATGTATATATATATATATATATATATATATATATATATATATATATATATATATATATATATATATATATGAAATCTATATATATACATATGTGTGTGTGTGTATCTATCTATTTATCTATCTATATAACCATTTATTAATTTATTTGCTTATTCATCTATTCATTCATTTATTCATATATTTATTTATCAATCTGTTAATATATGCACAGTATTACGGGATCTTGGAACCTGTTCTTCGTTGGATTACTGCTCTCCTGATGTGCATGAACCAGCATGTCCTCCTTGGCGGCGCTCCTTATTCTCTTGTCTCGTTTACCGTCCATCAAGGCAGCCTTCTCGATCCACTCCTGTTCCTTCTATATATCAGCCACTTTGCATTAACTATATCTGATTTTTTCACTCGACGCTTTGCTGAGGGAAGTCTTTCATTTTGACCTGTTAACACTGAAGATTACTACAGACCCCTTCAGTATGGCACAGACGCCTTCGAATAGTAGGAAAACACCTCTAGGACATCATTAAGAGCCTTATATCATTAGATCATACACACCAGTCCAATACACCTACGCATTACACAAGCAGGACCCGAGTCACACCCACAGCTCGCAAATATCTCAAAACACAATCTAACCTTCAGCTTCAGCTACATTACATTCCGAGCCATCGAAACACCAGGGTTCCTGGCTGTAAACTTACAAAACATCAAACAGCTAGTTCAGAATACACCTGTACGACCTACAATGAAGTATTCTACGGACGTATAGAACCCCTACACCAAATGCATAGACAAGCTTGAACAGCTAAAATACTAGGTCCGCCAGAACATTATAGACAATTTCATCTGCACACTTGGTATGACAACGAAATATATATGTCTGTGTGTGCAAAATAATTTCTCCAAATTATACTGTATCAGTACAGTTATCTCATATTTCATTTTATGTTTGTGGTTGTTTTGAATAACATGTAATTTCTTCTTCGACCAGAGAGAGAGGGGGTGGGTGAGCGAGAAGGAGAGGGAGGGAGGGAGAGAGAGGGGGGGATGTGTGAAGGGGACAGGGAGAGGGAGAAAGGGAGAAGGGAGAGGGAGAGAAAGGAAAGGAAGAGAGAGAGAGAGAGAGAGAGAGAGAGAGAGAGAGAGAGAGAGAGAGAGAGAGAGAGAGAGAGAGAGAGAGAGAGAGAGAGAGAGAGAGAAAGAGAGAGAGAGAGAGAGAGAGAGAGAGAGAGAGAGAGAGAGAGAGAGAGAGAGAGAGAGAGAGAGAGAGAGAGAGAGAGAGAGAAAGGGAGAAAGAGAGGGGGGGTAATGAGGGAGAGTGTGGGAGTGAGAGAGAGAGAGAGAGGAAGTTATATTTAGGTATATATTTATTTTCTCAAACACTGTATGTGATAGAACAAACACGAACAGTGGGCACACTTATTTATTCATGAAATGTTTTGTATTGCAGAATACACTATATTCAATCAGCTAAACAGATGATGACATGCTATGGTATGTATATAAAGTGTGTGGGAGAGAGAAAGAGAGAGAGAGAGAGAGAGAGAGAGAGAGAGAGAGAGAGAGAGAGAGAGAGAGAGAGAGAGAGAGAGAGAGAGAGAGAGAGAGAGAGAGAGAGAGAGAGAGAGAGAGAGAGAGAGGGGGGGGGGGAGGAAAACAGAAACAGAGAGAACCAAAAACAAAACATTTCCTTTAAAGCACATTGTGAAGATGGTGGAAGATCCTCTCGCAGAATGTCTGTGCCATCTGCGTGTTCACTCTCCCTGTATTGTAGTCTAAGACGTGGATGAGGCGGCCGCGGAAGGTGTGGAAGAGGTGAGACCAGTTGTTGGGCACCCCGTGGATGGACACCGACCTGAGGACGTGTGTAGCTTGCACGTGGTCGCCGCCCTCTGTCACCAGCTTCGTCACATCGCCCATGTTGGACACACAGAAATCGCATGTGTTGTTAGCTGGTCCTGACTGAGTGCTTTGGAAAAACTCGTCATAGTTTACGTTTTCTGGCATGAAAAAGTTTTTCAGCGCTTCTTCTCGCACTACTGCTCCAACTTTGAGTTCGCTTTGTATTTCCTTGTGCAAGGATCTTGCGAAATCCCAGAATTTGTCGCCGATATGTCTTGGTATTTCAGCAGTTATGGGCATCGGCGGTAGAATGTGACACCCGAGATACTTGGAGCCGTCCTCATCCCAGTACCGGCGCACACTTACGACATGGTCGCAGCGAATTCTGTAGGAATCTTGCTCGAGGCCCTTAAGAACCAGAAGGTCAACCATGGCTGCGTAGGCAAGAGCTGCGAAGGCTGTGTTGACGGTGACTGACTCCGCGCGACACTTCTTAAAGAAGGCGCTTGTTGTATCCACGTCTAAGTCTCGTGTTACACACTTGGTATTGCACTCTTCCTCTCTCGCGTCTTTGTAAGTCAGGTTTAATATGGAACAATCGCTCTTGTGCGCCTCCGACTCACTTATCATCTTCTGCAGGGTTTCCGGGTCTGCCTTCATGGCGGCAACGCGCTCGTCCACGATCTTGTGCGTCATTTCGCCGGAGATGAAAACGCCGAATTGTTCGACGTCATCGATGGTCTTCCCGGAAATCACGTCGTTAAGAAGCTGGATGAGGAAACCGCAAATCTTCATGGTGCTTGTACCATCGGTAATTCCATGATGGAAACCAAGGAAGAATGTGTACAGATGTGGGAAACCCTGCATTTCGTTCGCCGCGCCTTCCGAGGGAGATCCGGACCGCAGCTTGGCACACCATAAAGGACCCGCGTTAGAATCGTAATGGTGATTCCTCAGTTTTTGCAATGTTTCGGCTGCCGATGCGGTTTCTGGCAACATCTGAGAAAAGAGTTCAGTTAGAAGATATGGACTTCAAGTACTAAAAGATGACATCTTGAATTACTGGAAAGACATTTTCTCTATATAAAATAGACCTGCTGCTGTGAATAAGAATAGTACTACATATTACACAAATTACTTATGTGAAGACGACATCAGCGGCGTAGTCAGGGGAGGGGGGAGAATCCACTGATGATATTACATAAATATAACGTTTTATAATACACTGACTTGAAAGACATAACGCTCTCCATGACGAGCTGTGGTGGTTCCGGTAACTTTAGATTTATTTATTCATATATATTTTCATTTACTTATTTATCTTTTTTTTACTTGACCACTTATATGACTAACAACGCCACTGAATAACATCTACTAACTTGGTGCCTGCCAAAATGTGGCCACTACCTTGTGCATTTATTCAGCGCCTTAAGTCTTACCTGTTCTCTGTATCATTATCAACATAGGCAATTCTGCGCAAAGCCTAACGTTAATGGAAGGCCCAGTGCTCACCTCAAAGTCAATATTCTCTTGCGTCATCTCTCTGAGCCAGGTGTGTCCGTCCCGCTGGTCAAAGCACGCTCTCAAATTGGGCGTTTTTCTGCGATGGAAAGACGATGGCGGTCAGGGTCTAGTTAAATAAAGCCTCTTATATTCAACTTTCTTGTCTTTGATGAAAATGATTTAATGTGTAGTATTTTATGGAGGTCTGCACTGCGACAGAGGTACAACAGCGAAATGCTCCTCTGTTAGTTATTATAATTAAATCTTCATATAATGCCCTCAGTGTATGCGGACACGATTGGCGGTCGAAAGAAGACTCTTAAGCGAATGCATCTAACTCATTTCCACCAGTCAACCGCGAAACTCCCGGAAATCAACCGAGCAGAAGGACGGCCGTACCTGTAGAGGTGTGAGAGCGCGGTGGTGACCTGGTCCTCGAGAAGGGGGGCGGCGGTGGCGACGGTCAGCTGGTAACTTACCATGAAGGTCTGATACCGGTTGGACACATCGAAGAACTTCTCCGCCATGGTGGCCTTCCACAACCATTTCTTCTCGGTCTCCATGATGAATCCTGTAAGGAAATGCACAGCGAATAAATGACCGGATCCGTTTTCTTTCTCGAGGATGTCCTTATTTCACGGCATCCCGGGTGAACGTGTACATCTCACGGCGAATTCAACCTCTGTCCTAGAAGGTACCGGCAGAGTGAGCCTTCACACACACTCTTCGTTGTATTTAAGGGAACAGACGTAGAGTGTTAGTCTGGCTCCCACGCTTTCGGTGATGGGTCTTTCCTTGAGGCAAGTTGGGGACCACCTGGCGGGAGTTGCAAGTCACGTCATGTGTGGAGGTCACTTTGAGTTGTGTTTGTCTTTCTCATTGCTCTCGGTGCCTGCATAGCAACCGGTTATCATTATGTTAAATATTTCAAACGCAATGATCTATTAATACATGAAGCGAAATTACTAGTAAGTATAGACAGCCGAGAACAGTCTCTTTATTGTCTAGCTTTTCATTTCAAATAGCAAATCTGTGTCATTATGAATATACTACGATATGCATGCCTTTAATTAACATACTAAGGACATCATGTCATACTAAGTATGGCGATTATATCACCATAACTGAGTAATTTCCGGTAGAAAAATACAGGAAAGTGACATAACGTATCCGATGTTTATTTTCCTTTGAAAAAAATGTTGCATGGTGATGACGAAAGTTCAATATGTGTCACTGAAATTAGTAACAAATAAGTTTTTTTCACCAAATACAGAAATGGGAAAATCATTTTTTGTGTATGTAATTGCTTGTGAATTAACTAAACATTCGACATAAACATAACACTAAAGGAGCACGGCATCAATGTATACGTTTACGTTATACCACTCCACCCTATCCGAGAGGAGGCTGTCTCGTCGGTGGGTTATCGCAAACACCCTATCATAATTAGACGCCGATCACATAGCAACAGTGGTAGCTAAATCGTTGGTATTTTGCGAAAAGGATCTGCTGAGGATTTACAAATCTCCAGAGAATAATTATTCAAATATATTGTGCTAAAGTAGGGTTTTTTTCTTAACCTGGGATCCATGGGTGGGTTTCTGGGGATCGTGAGAATCAGATAAAAGTTTGATTTATAATAGTGTGTTCTTAAATTGTTTATTTTAGGGTTTAATACTTTGCTTATCTCGAAGATATGAATGAGGCAATCAAATCTCAATAAATCCAGTTTACACATTATAAGTACATCATACACATTGCATGCAAAGTTGTGTTTATGTGAATATTTCCGGGGAAGGGGTTGCATAGTTTTTTATCAGATTCTTAAAGGGGTCCGTGACTCTAAAAAGGTGAAGAACCACTGTACTAAAGGGACGAACCTTGATTTTGGCGGAGAGTGAGCTTACTGGCGACCTCTTCCCACGCGCGAGACTGATAGCTTTTCCTCGACGCCGTCCTGTGACTTGATGCAATGAGGGGCGCGTAAACCAGGGATAAATTCAGAAATCTTCGTTGTCCTTTTCTTTTGTCTTTGTTCTTTACAACAACGAAAATGAAACTGACCGCCGAGTGTTGCTATTGCTGCAAGCGAAAGATTATGAGACTAGGTAGTGACCTTGAGATTATTGCCAGACTTTGCATTCTCCTTCATTCAAACTGGTTTTATTTCGTGTCGCTAAAGATAACAGTCAGTGAAAGTCGAGAAAGATAAGGAATATAACTTATCTCTGCATCCCTCCTAATCTTTAATATTTGATCGTATCGATTACGTATATTACAACTTGATAAAATCCAACGAGAGCATCATGTCTCATTATAACTATAGCAAGCCTTTAGGACTATTGCTTACACAGGGTTTTCTTTTTCATTCCTAAAGCAAAATGCACTTAACTTTAACATTTTTTCTTAATCAAATATTTGCAATAGGCGGTTCGAGTATAGTTATACACTGAACATCGCCGTCTTTATTTCAGCGACTGTCAACCGGTGAAGCCATATGAAGCTAAGAGAACATTTTTGCTGAGAGGAGACATGCTAAGGAATCTGTCACCTGAGGAACTGAAAAGTCTACAGCGTATACAGTGAACTCGGAAAAAACAGATAAACAACAGCATGACATTTTTAAGCAACGGAATTTTTTTTTTTTTTTTTTTTTTTTTTTTTTGAAGGGCGATATCGTATTCTTTTAATTTGCTTGTTAGTCACTATGCTCAAGGTCAGAGCAGATAGAAATTTCTCGCGGTAAAGTTTTCTCTTCCAGGGTATTTTAAAGATAAAATGTATATGATTACACACACAAAAAAAAAAAAAAAAAATCTTCCATAGGCACATTACCTATTTTCATTATTACCACTGCGAGGAAAAATAATACAAATAATGCAGTCCGTAGCTTAAAGCGGGGTGAGGGATTTAGAGAATGTTGGTAAACGTGAACCCATGGCTTATATGCAACTTTGCTGTATGTGCAGGAATCTTCCGAGTGATAAGTGATCATTTCCACATACGAAGAATCTGTCATTATCAGTGACGCATACATCTGACTAAAACATTTTACTCGCATGCAATAAATACAATCACCTTCGAATGTATTTTCATTATTAATCTATCAATTTACCCGTTTTATTATACGCAATAAACAGAGAATAAACCAATAATATGTATCCTATACAAGTATTAGCGAAATAAATCATTGTGCGAAAAAGTTCCGACTACATGACAACAGCGACAATACAAGTGTTACGTGTAAATATATTTATATATACATACACATACGTGTATGTATATGTATATATATATATATATATATATATATATATATATATATATATATATATATATATATATATATATATATATATATATGCGTGTATGCATTGCGACTCTGCATGTGCGTGTTCGACTGTGTGTATGTGTACGACAGTGCATGTACGTGTGTGTGCGATTACATGTGCTTGTTATGTATGCGAGTAGAAGCAAGGTCTAAAGGCCCTCAGACATTACGGCCAACAGATATGTCCTTGCACTACAGCGTCTCGGCAGAACTGAAGTAGATTTGATCATGTACAACAGAAATACAAATACTTAAATAGATTCTGAAGTGCTCCAATACACAAATTGAAAATCACAACAGGTGATAACGAAAACGAAAATAACAAGAGGGGTAACTCTCGTGTAATCGCTGACCTTCACAGGAACGCAACAGCATCATATTGATTCTGAAATCCTGCTATTTTAACTAAACGTAATTTATATAGAAAATATAAATACTGTTTCCAATTATTTTTTCCATACTTCAATGGCTCCTCAATGTAGGTTTTGATTTTTATATTATAATTGAATTCATGTATACTCTGTTAAGGAACAATACAAATATTTATGTAGCTTTTTGAAATACTGTAATACACAAGTTAGTTGAAAATTACAACAGCGCCAGTAGCCTTAATGAAAACAACAAGAGGGGTAAGTGTGGTAATTGCTGGCCTTCATTGGGATGCTACAATATTATATTGATTCTCTAATTGTTCTGTGATCTTAACTAAATGTAACTGATACAGAGAATAGAATAGAAAAAATCTCCAATCTAACCACAGATCATTGTTTTAATAGGTATAATGGAGTGTGATTACAGCAATAAAATAAAAATAAAACAATAATTAGAAATGTAATAAGAAAAGTTTTATTTGTAAGATCATTATACATAACCTGCTTCCAAAATACAATACATAGAATTTTAAGTGGTAAAACACCCAAACAAATAAATATTAAACTCAGTATATAGTATAACTTTGGTTTAACTTTGTCATCAAAACTTGACATCTGACAGTTGTCCTCATCCATGCTATGACAGTCATTGTTGCATAAAAATAAATGGCCCTACTATGCAATGCTGCCAATAAATATTCTAAATTATAGTGGATACAACATATTCATTCATGTTAATTAGTCACTTCCTTCTTCATCGGGACAGCACTGAAAATAGAAAAAAGGTTACTTGATATATCTGTATCTCTGTCTATCCATCTATCTATGATAAATTCTACATACTTTTTACTATGCTTAGTAGCATTTAATGATATTGAATCACTGACAGCTATCAAAAACTACATACAACTATATATTTTACTTGAGATGAACTTGTATAAATCTTATAATCATTCCAAGAGTAGAAGCTATTTATATACAACCCAAAAATTATCATGATACTTACAAAGAATTCAACAAAACAGATATGGTTATCTTCAGTCTTTATCATAAACTGTAAACAGAGGAAACCTCGCTCATCTGTTCGAACTGACACCTTCTGAGAAGCACTTAGAGGTTTAATAGAAGGCCGCAGAAGGGAGAGCTTGTAACGTTGGATCATAGTTTGAGTGCATGAGAAGTTCTCCACCATGTCACTGTCTCTTGGTATATCTGTCTGTGAATTGTAAAAAACAAATCTTCAAGGGTTAAATGATTCGTAAAAATCAATTTTCTGAATCTTAACCGCTGTAAAATTCAATTCAATGAGTATGGACTGAACTGTAAAAAGCAGTTATGTGAGTGTTAACTGAAAGCAAGAAATAGCTGAAGAAACCAGGAAGGAGCCTCTAATTAATCTGTAAATGCCCAAGGAGTTATTGTTGAAGGATATTATATAATAACTGCTGAAAATATGAACATGTAATACTTTTACTTTCAATGATATTCTTGATTTGATGTTTAATAAACAAAAAAAGTAAAGAGGCCTATATAAAAGTAAAGAGCACATATAATAAAGTGAAATATGTATTTGATGATGCCAAAGAAGTTTGGAAAATTCCATGTGTCACAGCAATATTTTGGAAGACTGAAAATGGAAATGGGATCCATTATAAACATTATAAATCACCAGAGCCCAGATACAATAACAATGTGTTTGCAATGAATATTGAGAGCCTAATTATTACAACTTTATGTATTTACAATACTATCACCTGGATGGAAGACTCAAACCAAATATCCTAGTCAATACCACACCTTCTAATCTGAATTTCTAAAAAATTATTAAACCTTACTGAAAACTTACGTGATTAGTTCCATAATTTCCAAAAGTAGAGAGACGGAAATATGGAGGATCTGGAGACATCATGATTTCTAAGACATCACTGGACATGTCAAGCTCAGAAAACACCTCCTTTAGACACTCAGATCTCATTATTACTTTATTTATCACTCCTGGAACAAAGAAATTAAGATATTTATATTTTCAGTAAACAAAATAATAATAAAACATTAATACTGTGTAACCAATGGATATATACTATTAGTCATAGTCATTTCTAAGTACACTATGTAAGGAAGACGAGGAACTATTCACATTTATTTTGGAAAACATTCAAAATATATATATATTTGGCACATTTCCTACCACCCTCAAATTTGGTGTAATATAATCCCCGTTATAAGTAGGTAATTATTAGTTGATAACTTTATTACCTGTGTTACAGAAATTGAAGTCCAGAGTATCATCTGCCTCTTGAGTCCGTATGCTGCAATCAGTCAACACCCCAGCTTCTTCTAGTCTGAGTAAAAGAACTGTACTTTAGTCCTAATTTTATGCATATCAAAAGGCACTATAAAAATTGGGCATATAAAGCTTTCTGTTAAAATCAGAGCAACTATCTTCACCTTTTACAAGAAGCAGCTACAAATTATAATTTCTATCCATGAAAACCAATTGCCAGAGAAGATTCGAAATATCCATGACTAATTACAGTATCCCCAATGTATTCATATATCCTGATTATATACTTAGTGAGAGAAAAAAATCCAAAATTATACACATATTTACTGAAATCAAAATTCTATCACAATAAAAACTAAATGAATGAAGTTGTAAGTGATAAACAGAAAAATAATAACTTACAACAGAATAAGAGGTGAGCCATAGCCATTGTAGCACATCTTGAGTGCTGGTGTGATGCCAGGAGTGCTGCTGCCACCAAAGATATTAAGACACTCAACAAAGACATTCAAGTTCACCTTGAATGTTATAACATCCTCTTGAATGTTATACTCCTGAAAGAGTTTGAAGTGAAAGATAAAAAGACAGTCCAAAATCATTACCTGGTTCCTTATTCCAAGGCAAACAAAATCAGAACTCGGGATATTTCCAAATTTGGTCTGGACAACTGTGGGTTAAATGAAAAGATTCAAACCTCAACCTTTAAAGTTATTTTCTGTAAATCACAACATAGATTGCAAGGGAAGATTTTCTTGTTTGAAAGGACAAAAAAAACTTTTCTTCATTTACTAAAGAATCAGTGCACCAAAGCTGATGCTAGATAATAGTTAAAATAACTGTAATGATCAAGATATTTCTTAGTATAAATTGGCTAAACCCTTTTCCACAGTTTTTGCATGTCATGAAACACAAGGAATAATGTCTAACCAGTCCTATTTTCTGGGGTATCCATTGGAATTTAGTCCTTAACAGATGGTTTTCCTTGCCATATATTATCCACATATATAAAGCATGCCCCCCCCCTCCCTCTCTCTCTCTCTCTCTCTCTCTCTCTCTCTCTCTCTCTCTCTCTCTCTCTCTCTCTCTCTCTCTCTCTCTCTCTCTCTCTCTCTCTCTGTGTATGTGTATGTGTATGTGTATGTGTATGTGTATGTGTATGTGTATGTGTGTGTGTATGTGTGTATGTGTGTGTGTGTATGTGTGTGTGTGTATGTGTGTGTGTGTATGTGTGTGTATGTGTGTGTATGTGTGTGTGTGTATGTGTGTGTGTGTGTGTGTGTGTGTGTGTGTGTGTGTGTGTGTGTGTGTGTGTGTGTGTGTGTGTGTGTGTGTGTGTGTGTGTGTGTGTGTGTGTATTTCTAAAAGCTAATATATTTTGTGTTGTTTCATCATGCAGCTAAGTTAAAAGAGATATACTTACCTGGAACATATCCGACTGGATAAAAGCATTGGCTTGGATACATTTTGCCTCCTCAACTGTGACTTTCAATCCATTACTGCTTGCAAATACTGTGGCTGTCTGTTGAATAAAAGGTATCAAATGAATAATCCATGATCATCAACAACCAGTTTTTATGACTTTACAATCACCCTCATTTTTTCAGATACTAATATATGTAACTCGTAATAAAAGTCTTTACAAAATGTTTCTATTCTGTTCAGTAAAAATGAAACTGGCAATGGTTTAATCAGTTAAAGCCAATATTCAAGGATTGAACAGATACATTGAAGATAAAGTTACATATATTACAGCAAAGTAAGAGTTAAAACATCACTCCTTTTCTCTTATGCTGCATTACATCAAATTAGATATTGCAGTAATTTCCATGCAATAAAAAACAAGTAAATTCAGAAGATATTGAAGATAAAAGACTACAAAGAATAAAAAGGACAAGGAATGATAAAACAAAGCCAAATGGTACAATATTTTAGTCAAAATCTTTGATCTAAAAATCAGGTGTCACAATATGATATAAATATATTCTATATTCAAAATGCATCTACAATTCTCTGGTTAACTAACATAGCATAAACATGAATTTCTTTCACTGGAATTATACATAATAAAAATAATAATAAATAAAAAATAAATAATAATAATAATAATATTAAGGCTATGGAAGAAGCCATCTAATAAATCTAGAACTAAACACATAGCTATGATGACCAGCTGTATGCCTCAACAAATTGTGTGACACAATTCAGTCGCTAACACGATTTCCTCATGCTAAAACTTTTGTGCTTTTATGAGTCTTTTACGCAGATGCAGGACTGCCCACTGCAGGAATGTGAATTTCATATCCTTTGTTTTGGCATGCCAGTTGTCTTTTTTATTATTATTTCTTAGTAGCCCAAGTTTTGCAATATAAAGGTTAATCAAGAGTAAAACCAACTGATCACTGAAAATCTCACTGTTGCTAGACTTGAAGCAGAGTTGGTGAGCTTACTAACTACAGTCAATAGCACTAATGAGTGTAGACCAGCAATCAGCAAGCAAACCGAATAAACATAAATAAGAAGTATCAACAGGCCAACAGTTATGAATAATGTGACGCCCTTCGAGGTTCATTAGTCAGGCTTCAAATTTCATAAGATTAAAAAGGTGCTTCTTAAGTATCCTTTCAAATACAAGCTTCCAACTCACATCACGAAAATTAACAGCTTTCAAGAGATGCAGCACGTTCTTGGCGTTGTCGATTTTGGTCATTAGCTGGTAGTCATTATGTTCATCGTCTAACTGAGATGATAATGACATTTTTCTTGGCGTTTGGGGTTCCAATGGCCCGCATAAACACTTCACATCCGACACTGTTTATGTTCATGTAACTCTTTGTATTCTAATGTCAACGGCCAGACTTATTGAAGTAGCATTGGAATGGTAATCTATCGGCATTTCTGACCTGTAAGACCATTATATACCATGAATTTGGGGTTTTCCAATGGTTGTATGGTAGATGGAATGGTAGTTCAGGGGAACTCCACATTCCACTGAAGCTACTGAGTGTGGTGTTTATCCTATGGAGGGATAAGCCTTTAGGGTTTTACATGGCACTATAGACACCTGGTCTCGGGGACATAAGGGTGATCCTCTATAGGCCTTGTAAACAAGGGCACCACTGTGCTCTGTGCTGGGTCGGCACGGTCAGGAGAGGCCGAGGCGCTTATGTGGCACTTGTGCCGCAGTTCAGTACTAACTGTCGTCGAACATGGGTGTTCGTTTATCTTTGGTAGGTATTCTTAAATTCGGTTAAAACAGTACTGAATTCCGGGTGACTATACGAAATAGATGAGACAGGGGTCTGCATCTCTTCGTACTCTCCAAGGAGAGAATTTTGGACTCGTCAGGAGACGAGGAAATTCAATTGTAACAGTAAGTACCCATTAAAGGTATAATATTATTTCATGTGTTTATAATCACCAATTGATATAATACTGAAATAAGTGAAGTTTATAAGAAGGAAAGTCACACGTAAACTTGGACGTATTATTCTTATAACAAACACTGAGCTCCGGAGAGAGTGGAATAAAAATCTGTTATCCAGTGGCCTACACGCGAGTATATTGGGTTATAATTCCACTTGTTGCCATCTTTACTCAAGGGTGGTAAGAAGTGGTATAGCAGCACGCAAAAGATGGCTAGGTAACACTAAAATAGAAAAGGAAATTATTTTTTTGTTTTCTTTTTATAAATATTTGTGTTTGGGCATAATTAAAAAAGGGCCTTGTATTACCCTACAGACTACAGTATTTCAATTAGTAGAAAAAAAATCAGAGCCTCTGTATCTTTAGAAGTAAATAGTCAAATTACGTGACATTTTTTTTTTTACACTAAATAATGGTGCTTACTCAATATTTACTTTACATTTGGAACGTATCACAGATCTCCACTATATGTGTTAGATATTCCTATGCTGATCGGACACGTTCAGACGCGCAAAAAACTTGTGATAACAAAATTGATGTCAAAATTATTCCATTCCTTACATAGAGAGGTAAAGAACAAAATATCACTTGTATAGACCATGATAAAAGATCTCAGTTGATTAAAGATGAAATTTTAAAATTAGATTTTTATTGACAATATTTTATTAAATACAGAATCTTACCATCAAACTACCAAATGAAGTTAATTTTTCATGTTATATATGCATGTAATCCCCCTAGAGTATAGAGGCCAGTGGTTCTCAATTTGTGCGACGAGACACAAAGGTGTGTCGTTTAACTTTGCAGATGTATATTTCCTTTGGCACTACTTGCCTTTAGGGGGGAAATATAAAGGAGGGAGGGAACAGAGAGAGAGAGAGAGAGAGAGAGAGAGAGAGAGAGAGAGAGAGAGAGAGAGAGAGAGAGAGAGAGAGAGAGAGAGAGAGAGAGAGAGAGAGAGAGAGAAAAGATCGTAGGAAATGCCCGAGATTACACAAACACACCTTTACAGTGCAGTAATCCATGCATCATTACAGTTCCAAGCTTTAGAGAACAAATATTCAGATATTTTTTTTTACTACCAGTCGAGATTCTATCCACGTTATTATACATAAGAAAAATTACGTCTGCAAGAATTACTCGATTCGAGCAAGTTAATCCGGTCAAATGTGGCTGAGAGGCCTTTTGATGATCCATAGATTATTAACTCCAAAGATACAGATCAA